CACGCCGGAGAGTTTTGGGGTGTCTTAGCTCTAAGTCCTCCACCGCCCAATGGGGGACTTAAGTTTTTTTTCTAATGCCGTACCAATAGGCATTAACCTTAGGTAAGCTTGTGCTTACTTTGGACTGTACCCTCCTCATCGTCTGGGGGAGGTAGAGGGGGGAGGGGGCGCACGGCCTCTATTTTTCAGGGGGGGGTCGGGTACTGGTTGGGGTTCGGGTCTGTGTGTACTGCATTCTCAAATTGTCCCCTCACTATAGCTACTGTGGATTTTCAGTATTCAGCTATCCTTACTCAAAGCGTCTATGTGTCCGGTAATCTCCAATACAAATCAACCTGTGAGGTTTCAGCATGCAGTTTTCGCCACTCAATGCGTCTATGTGTCCGGCAGTCGCAAACGTCACTCAACCCGTTAGGTTTCAATATGCAGCTATCCTCACTTAAAGCGTCTGTCTATGTGTGTGTCTGGCACCATCCAACATCACTCAACTCGTGAGGTATGTAGCTATCCCCACTCAGCGCGTCTATGTGTATGGCAAACTCAAAAACAAATCTATCTGTGAGGTTTCAGTATGCAGCTATCCTCACTCAACACGTCTATGTGTCCGGTAGTCGTAAACGTCACTCAACTCGTCAGGTCTCAACATGCAGCTATCCTCACTCAAAGCGTCTATGTGTCCGGCACTATCCAACATCACTCAACTCGTGAGGTTTCAGTATGTAGCTATCCCCACTCAGCACGTCCATGTGTCTGGCAAACTCAAAAACAAATCTATCTGTGAGGTTTCAGTATGCAGCTATCCTCACTCAACACGTCTATGTGTCCGGTAGTCGTAAACGTCACTCAACTCGTCGGTTCTCAACATGCAGCTATCCTCACTCAAAGCGTCTATGTGTCCGGCACTATCCAACATCACTCAACTCGTGAGGTTTCAGTATGTAGCTATTCCCACGCAGCGCGTCTATGTGTCTGGCAAACTCAAGAACCAATCCATCTGTGAGGTTATTATGGAGCTATCTTCACTCAACACGTCTAGATGTGTCCGGCAATCTCCGATACAAATCACCTGTAAGGTTTCAGTTGGTGTCTTTCCTCACTCAAAAGCGTCTATGTGTCCGGCACTATCCAACATCACTCAA